AAAAAAAGAAGGTGGGCTGAGGACAGGCTCCCAAGACTATCCTCCAGCTCTGCACACACACACTCCCACACATGTGACCACAAACGCACATGCACATGGACAGAAAATAAAAATGGAATCAAATGACATTGGTCCTCTAATACCCACTTTCTTCATTCATTATAACACCCTGTGGGGAGGGCAGGGCCGGCTCGGCTTCACGCCTAGAGCTGGATCCGTTCTGTGTGTCTGCACCTCTGTTTATCCGTCTGTCCATGGTTCTTCCTCACTTCAGCTCTGCTGAATAATATTGCTGGAAACACTGACATAGACACATTTTAGGGCACCCCGTTATTTCCCTCCTCGTCCCACCTCAGCGTGGCAGACTGAGGCCCAGGCTGGGTTGTTGAAATGAAGGTTGCACATGTTTGGGTATATAAAACCTTTAAACCTTTACTGTCCATTCGGTTTCACCGTGAAGATACTCCTTAAATTTTGTCTGTTTTTTTTTTTATTTTTATTCTTTGCAGGTGTTTGGGGGTCACATACATGCAGGTCAGAGGGCAACTTACTGGAGTTGTTTCTCTCTTTCCATGATGTGGGACTCAGGGATCAAAGTCAGTTCATTAGGCTTGGCAGCAAGTGTGTTTACCAGCTGACCCATCTCATCACACACGCACACACGCACGCACATACACAGAGAGACACTCCCTGTGTCTGTGAGTCAGGATAGAGAAGAGAAACAGAGCCAGAGGGAGCATAGGGCTGTGTCTCTCAAACCCACAACTGTGGACCCTGGCTCCACAGCGTCACCCCAAGTTAACCACAGACCCCAGTGTCTGGGGTGTTGTCAAATTCAGGAGGGTGAGCCCATTTGATGTTTCTCCTGGCTCCAGCCAACATGGCAGGTATAGGCAGGACTTACTGGAATGATGGGTTAGTGCCCACCATGACATTCGTCCTCATGGGAGTGGGCCTGAGGTCCCCTGCTGGGCATACTCCACTGACAATCCCCCCAACTCTGAAGGCCATGCCAGGGCAGCTGCAGCACAAACACAGGACACAAGAGGTCACATGGACTCACACCTGGAAACTGTATAGGAGCCCCACAGGACATGTCCATGTCCTGCTTTCCGGGCTGTTGGTGTGAGCTAGCTGGGATAAAGGTGAATGAGTGAAAACACAGAGATGAGGCCACCCTGGTCCAGTGCTGTACCAGGCTTTCTTTTGGGCCACCAACCAGCTCCCAAATCATGATTTGGAGACAATATTAATTATGAATGCTCAGCCTTAGCTTAGGCTCGTTTCTTGCTAGCTCTTAAAACTTAACTTGTTTCTGTTCATCTACATTTTGCCTCCGGGCTTTTTTCCTTCCTTCCTATCTTACTTTCCTGCTTTCTCTGTGACTGGCTGGTGGCTGCAAGGCCTCTGACCCTAGGCATCTCCTTCTCTTTGTTCTCTCTCCCCAGCCTAGACTTCTCCTCCTACTTATTCTCTCTGCCTCCAGCCCCACCTATTGCTCTCCTGTCTAGCTATTGTCCCTCAGCTTTTTATTGAACCAATCAGGTGCCTTAGGCAGGCAAGGAGAAACAAATGCAACACAACCAAGTATTTGTGTTACATTATTAACAAAGGCAGCAGAAACAAATGTAACTCATCGTTACATAATTAAGATAATATTCTACAACATGTGGTTCCCTGACCCTAATAACACCTGTCTTCAGGAGTCACTTAGGACAGCCACAGAAAAGCCACCCTGTGAAACTGGGCATGGTGGCACATGCCTGTAATCTCAGCACTTGGGAGGTAGAGGCAGGAAGGCTAGATGCTCAGTGTCATCCTCACCTACAGCGAGTTCAAGGCCAGTGTTGGTTAAATGAGACGCTGTCCCAGAAAGAAAAAAAAAAGTTGAAGATAGAGGCAGAAAGTGACACAGCCCTGGGGTCCTAAGGACAGATATGGGCATGCCCCCCACTCCCCAGGGTCAGACTCCAGTCCCAGCCCTGACAAAGCCTCATCCGGCACTCAGAGTCAAGCC